ACCACAAAAAATGGCAAGAATGGGCCCGAAAGATTTATTTAGAGCAACTTGTTCAAAGAGGTGTTTTTTTTTTTTTTTTTTTTTTTTTTTTTAACTGCCTCGTTTGCGAAATGAATATCCGGAATTGTTAAATTCCTACAATTAGCTCACACTCTCCCTATATCTTGTTCATATTTTCAGTACATAAAATGCTTTTTATTCATCCACTCAAGTTCAAATACGCTCAAAGTTCAATACACTTTTTTAAACTTGTAGTGAATGACACTTGATGTTAATACAGGTTTTTTGACATATTAAAATTTTTTAAATTTTTAATTTTAAAAATTCTGTTTGTATTTTTATTTATTTATTTATTTGTATTTTTTAAAATTTTTCTTTGTGGACCTAAGTAGGAATTGATTTTATATATATATATATATATATATATATATATATATATTACTGTTTTTTAATTATTTCAGGATGAGTATAGACCAGTTTGACAGATTTGCAGATTCTATATTGTATGAAAATTAGGATTTATAAAATTGGTTTGGAATAAAGTATATAAAGAGAATTAAATTACTTAATTCTCTTTATATACACCATCCACCATATAATAAAACCAACGTTCATATTTTTTTAAACTCCCCCTCCCTTGGTCTTTTGTTTTCTTTTTATTTATTTTTGAATTTAGAATGAGGATTCAAACTTTGGACAGTTTATGAGAAATTATGTGCATGTGATAAAATATGCAATAAAGTAAAAATAAAGAGATAATTTATAGATGATACATGATAAAGAGAAGCAGATATATCATTACATAAAGGTTTCTTACTTTGCAATGCACATTTTTTAAACTAAATTAAAAACAACAATAATAATGAATAAAAGAAGTCTCATGAAATAACACACACTAGGTAAAATAAGAATATAGTGATTATGAATTAAATATAAGAAACACGTTTCAAAATGAGAAAAGCTAACTTTGATGTATATACTGGTCTACGGGTGAGGTTCGAACTCGCCACCTTTCCATTTGCAAAGCAGTGCACTGACCACTCAGTTATCTGTGATAGCAGTGTTTGTGAAAAATAATGTAACAAGTAGAAGTTGCTGCAAAGGTAATTTAATTAAACTTCAATAAACGATTGCTGTATGACACAAGTTGTAACTTTCCTCCAAAATTTCATAATTGTATTTTATTGAATACTTTTCACAGTCAACTTCTTTATTTTAGAAGTTGTTATATTGAAGTTAGTTTTTGGTGTATTTAATATTGGGATATTTATAGAGCTTTTTATTACACATGATCTAGCCAATATTTATAATAATTAAGGAGAATTGTGTAAGGCAGAAACTTTGATTTCGTAGAAACTGTAATTTATTTAGGTTCCTATTACTTACGGTGTTATAAATAAATGAAGCATATGGATATACTGGTCGGATCATTACTTTATAAATATACAGTATTCCCCTGTAATGAGAATTTTAAATTTATACCAATATATACGGTTTGAGAAATCTGAAGATGGCGTGAGCAATGCTGATTATTTTATTGCTGTATACAGTTATGATATTTCTAAGCAAAAACTCATCTCTGTATGGCTCTTATGCCATATTGAAATGGGTAAGCAAGAAGGTTTTCTGATTATGACACGTGATAAAAACTCAGTTGACTATTGGCTATACGCGCGCGTCGCGGGCGAAAAAGCTGAACAAGAGCGAACTCAGTTTACGTCTTCTGTGTCACGCAGATTTACTCTGGCGTCAAAAAAAGTTGCGTCAACTACGTCGCGAGCGTACGCGTGTGGACGGGCCTTTACTCTATTTAATAAAAACTTAACCTGACCTATGTGCCTAATTACAAATATTTTAACATGCATAATTTTATATTTACATTTAGCCATCATGTTTCAAACTTTTGACTTAAAACACGTTTTAGGATGCATTCTTTATCAAATTCAAATCTTCAATATTTTGGCAGAGATCAGAATACCTCTTTTAGCGATTTTACCCAGTTTAATAATTATCTTCTATTATAAATAATAACTATCCATTTCACATTTAAAAATTAATCTCATTGTCATCAGATCGCAATCCATCACAATGATTGTTTCTTTTATGCGGAAATGTCCCGTTTTCGATTTGTATGGAACTGTTGTGTGTCGAAATACTATCAAGGGAGCTTCTGGATGTAAACAAAAAACACCCTATCTGGAGACCAAAGCCTGAGAGCGGTGCTTCACTCGTAGTATGGGGTTTGCCCATCCTTTCATTTTTACCTCCATGGCTTAAAAGTTGACATTTAACTTCCATTGTTTCTGAAGGTAGTTTTCTAATTCGTTGCTCGTGTAAAAAGTTATATTGATTTTAAAATGAGGGAAATATCTGAAGAAATATGCTGTGTGATGCTTTTTTTATTATGAAAAAGGTAACATGTAGAAAAATGTGTGAAGTGTACGGTGAGAATGCTGTGATGAGCAAAGCACCCAGGAGTGGTTTGTTCGATTTCGTTCCAAAAATTTCGATGTCAAAGAATTCGAAATTGTCCGTTCTGAGCTGCTGGAACCTGGCGAAACCATCAATTCACCTAGTGCTTAATTTCTAAAATTTCAAGTACTGAAGCTCTATTGAAGACTGTCAGAAACGAAGGAAAAAATAAATAACTAATTAAATCAAAATTTTAAAAAATGTAAAGAGATAAATAGAAAATTAATAAATTATCAAATTACTTAGATAAAAAAAATAATTATCGGTCATCTTATTTGATGCTCTGGCTGGAATCCCAGTTCCACTAAGAAGGTAATAAATAAATAGCTCAGCCGATCTTCATCTAAATTTAAGCCCTGATTATACATATAATGTACTATTTCAAGGGATGATAGATACTAAAACCATTTCTTCTTTAGCTCTAATGGAAAGAGGTAAAACGATTAAAGCTTCACAAAGGAGAATAGTGAGAATTCTGGAAACAGTAGGAGGATATAGAAGGAAATTTTAACGGGAAAATAAAGAGGGAAGTGTCCAAGATTTTCTGATCGCGATGCCCGGCCGATATAATTCTAACCGTAGAACTGAAATTTTCACTGAAATACAATCTGATGACACCGTAACAATAAACATAGGGCTCCTCTGTACAAGTGACAGTAGTGGTTCTCTTCGTTTGATTCCATCGTTCAAAAAGTCTACAGGAGCTCTGGGGTCATTAGCGTGATACGTGCAGGACCAGGGTGGTCACTCTTAGTAACTTCTAGGAGCGAAATATTAACCCGCTGTCATAAATTCTTTGCACTTCCTGGAGAATAGGTTTTGGTTTGGTTATTGAGATTACGGCAAAGCACACTAAAGCTATCTGCCTAAATGGAGGGATACTTTCATGGAGTACTTTCTAAGGGAAACTGGCTCTCCTGGAGAATAAACCCTTGACACGTGGGTGGGGCCTTTCCTTAACCACTTGCGCTACGACTAAACTTCACGGTTGCGGTGCCGTGCGCTACAATATAACAAGCGGTAAAGTGTCTCATTTACGCCGCTCCGCGTCTGCGAGTGCAATCCAGAGCTGTATCTCGAGAAACAAACAATCTCGTTGTTAGACGACGTGTGCATCACGTTGTTTTCATTTTTGCGATAAATGCCTATCGACGTGGTGTTCACGTCGCTCGCGGTTTGAAACAAAAGCATCCCGACGTGCGTGGCACGTCTTTTTAGCGCAAGTGGTTAAATGTCTCAACTTCTCTCCAAGATTTAGTCCGAGGGAAAAACAGGTCTGCATTCAGAAGTTAGAATCGATTTTAAAACATATTTATTATTAAAATAAAAGTTGTTGCTGAAACTTATATGAAAGAATTGCCGGAGCCCGGTGCTGTCTGGCTAAAATTATGATTTATCTCAAAAACTGAGTAGTACCGGCTCTGGCGCAATTTAAGCTCTGAATTCGGCCGTTTGAATGAAACAAACCAGAAAGAGCGGCCAGAATTGGCCAACAGAAAGGGAGTTGTGTTCCATCATGACAATGCGCGGCCACACACATCTTTTATGACTCAGAACAAATTGATGGAACTTGGTTGGGAAGTTTTGATTCATCCACCGTATAGCCCGGACCTTGCGCCGTCTGATTACCATTTGTTTCGGTCTCTGCAAAACTGTCTTGATGGTAAAAATATAGGCCGACCGAAGCGCTGCTGAAAATGACTTGGCCACGTTTTTCGACGATAAACCGCAGAAGTTCTATACCGATGGAATTATGAAACTACCCGAAAAATGGCAAAAGGTCCTAGATAACAATGGTCATTATATACTTGATTAAAATTGACTTTCAATAAAGAAACTTTTTGTTCAAAAATGTACCAAAAAACCGCGGAGACCTTTTAAATTGCCCAATATATAAATGTACATAATAGAGTAAAAATAAAAATAAAATATTTAAGTCCATCCCATATTCAGCTGGGAACAAACCATTCAAAATAAAATCAAGAATCACAGCATTTTGAATTTCTTTTTAATTTGTATTTATTCATATATAAGAACTGAGATAACTGCTGAAATTTGTTTGTCATGGTGAAGTCCAAAACATTCTTGTGAATATGATCAGATATCTGTTTCTTGGTGTAAAATAAGTTTTTTACGCATGTAATATGATGTTTTTAGTAAATCTAATTGGGGAAAAAACAATATCAAATTTCACAGGCTTTGCATAAAATTTTGTTTCAAGGCATTAGTCATAGGTCCCTCTTCTTCAGAGGCAGAAAATATTACAGTGGAGGCAGAGTGAAAAGGCAAGTAAATAAGGAAGGAAAAAAATAGTATTTGGAATTTTATATGAGCATTTCTGCCTTCCATTTAAATGATTAATTAATTAATAAATGATTAATTATTATAATTTTAATCCTGCCATATAAATAATAATTAATCATATGTCATATAATCATTTAGCATTGCTTAATTTATAGTTTCCTCCAAAATTGTTGCAGAAGAATAGTCCAATGGTCTTTGTAAAACTTTTCCACTTGCATTTGCAGATTTCTGTTTCAAGTCGTTGGTGTTTTAGTGGAATCATTGTGTAATCAGACATTTGCTCCTGCTCTTAAGATCACAGAAGATACTTTTTTGTGCCAACAAGCTGCTCATTTGCTTCTTTACCTTACATATATGTTCCAATCAGGTAAACATTCATTTATATTTACTGTTTAAATATACAGCGCTATAGTGTTTTTCACAGTAAGAAAATAAATTTTATTGCTGAAGAAATTGTTAATTGACAAAGTTTCATTCAGGTGAACGGAGATTTGAAATATATATATATATATATATGTGTGTGTGTGTGTGTGTGTGTGTGTGTGTGTGTGTGTGTGTGTATATATATATGTACACTGCGAAAAAAAATGGGACAGTTCTGTATCTCCCGTTCTACTGGGCCGATCGACGAAATTCAAATTGCGTTTTCATGTCTCGAAAGCGCGACTTAGGATATATATTAGATTTATATATAGCATTGTTCTAATATAGGTATTTTGACACAAAATCGGACTTCTGAACTAGCATGCCAATTTTTTTTTCCATACTTCAATTATGCGACTCAAATTATGCCTAGATATTAGATTTTGTAATTTTTGGTGAGAATTTTATGGAAAAATTTAAATATTTATCTTGGCGCACATTTTTCAATCTGCGCCAAGAATCGATAATTAACTTGGCGAACGTCTTACTTTATAGCAACTTATTTTCCTTTCCTTTTTTTCATTGTAAGCAAGCTTAAAAAAACGTCATCTTAATAATTGTAAATAATCTTAACAAAGTACCTAAACCACATTTAGTGCTGTTATCGCTTACAACAAATATGCCAAATTTCAAAGCGCGCCAATATGTAAATTAGCCTATATTTTAGGAAATTTTGGATATAAGAACTTTATTTTTTGCAGGTATGCTTAGAAATACATCTACTTTACGATGACGGTAAAAATTTTATATGTTATAATTCAAAATTTTTTCGAAAAATTTATAAAAATTATTTTAAAATACAAATTTTTAAAATAATTCATAAAAAATAGGCGATTTTTATTTGGAATGAACCTAAATTTCGAATTCTGGAAGAAGGAATCAAGTAAATTTAATTACAAAAGCGATATTAATAAATATATATCAAATTTAATTAACTTTGAGGAGCTAAACTTTTGAAAGCAAATCTTTTAAAAACTACTTGTGCGATTTTATAAAACTTCGCAGTTTGGCATAATTTGAGTCGTAGAATCGAAATATGAAAAGAAAAAAAAAAAGGCATTTCATTTCAGAAAAGTCCTGTTTTGTGTCAAAATGCCAATATTAGAAAAGTGACTAATTCAGAAGTCAATCAACAAAAATCAGCATTATATTTTAAAATTTTCACAGGACTACTTTCGATGTTTTTACCGAACCACCATCCTCAGCTGCAAAAACGCAAATGAATGAGATAAGAAAACCTGGACAGAAAATAAGCTAGTGGCGTCATCTGTTGATGAAACCAGAACTAAAACATAATTTCTTTAAAGGCCGAAGGCAAATTTGGATTGGAATTAGGATCGTTAACTAGAAGAGAAAGATTTTTATGAATGTGAAATGCCTCTAGAAAATCCAGTTCTCCAATGGAAGATGTTTTTTGAATAATTTTGGCAGCAGAAAAATTGAAAGTGTGATTTTCGGACCAACAATGTTGAGCAACGGAAGACTTCTGTGTTTCATTTTTCTGACATATGCCTCTATGACGCGAAATTTTAAGGCTCTCCTAGTTACAAACGTTTTGCTTTCTATTCATTTCAGTGAGGGATTTTTCTGCTGTTTTGTGTGTGCTTTAATATTGCTTAGTTAATTTAGTTTGATTTTCTGCATTGTTTGTTAATTTAGTTTGATTTTCTGCATTGTTTATCCTGCCCTCATCCGTTAATCGTTTCACTAAATTACGCCTGAAACGGCAAAAATTCCTAAATCATCTTGACTTTTTACTTAAATGTAAATGTAAAAAATTGATCCCCAATTTTATTCAAATCAAATCTAATAAAAAACTTTCGAGTCGCGTTTCAAGAATTCTGTTAAATTGCAAGCTTGCCTTACTTCGGTCCGTCATAAGGGATACACGTCAACAATTCTCCAAAATTGAACATGAACTCTATAAGCTTCATCTGGAACTCGCTAAATCATATTCAAAATTCACTGCCCTTGAACAAAAGTCTTGGTCTGCAGCGGAGAATGCAGTTAAACATCATAAAAACATCCTTGCAGTTAAATTCGAAAAATTTCTTTTACATTCTTCCAGTTCAAGTAGTTCAAAAAATCTTCCCATTGAAACATCAAACCAATAGTTAATATTTCTAATGTTAGTCTTTCAGAAGAACAAGAGAGAATTCTAAAATATAATTTTAACTTCTCACAAACCTGTAAACCCTCGATTCCAAAGATTTTGGCTCCTATCGAAAAAACTTTCAAGTTCAGTAAAGTTTCAGATTCACAGAAAGAAGTGATTAGGCATCTTATCGCTCATAATGTAAAATTCAATAATAAACCTTCGAAACCAAATCTAACTGCGAGAGAAAGGGCTACAATGCGCGAAATTCATTCTAGCCCGGATATTATCATTTCAAAGGCCGACAAAGGTGGCCAGATAGTCGCCATGGATAAGAACACTTACATCGATGGTGTCACTAAACTCTTAAACGAAGGACCATATAATCCGATCCCTAAAGATCCTTCATCTTCAGACTTGTCAAAAATAAAAACTGCGATCAAATCTTCGCAAATCATTCCAAGCAACTTAAAACATTCGCTTATCCCATCTGTTTCGAATTGTGCCAGATTATATGCTCTTCCCAAAATTCATAAAAGTGGTATTCCTTTCCACCCTATTGTATCAAATTTAGGTACTGCCTCGTATCCATTAGCTAAATATTTAGTTTCTAGATTTTACACTCTATTAGACAATAACATTTACACCATAAAAAAATTCAATAGAGTTTGTAAAAAAGGTTAAAAACATTTCTCCTAGAAATTTACTCATGGTTTCTTTTGATGTAAAATCATTATTCACCAATGTCCCAGTGGAGGGTGCATTAAGATGTGTAAAAACCAGACTTCGTGAATTTCATTTCTCTTGCATCGAAATTGATGAGCTAATTTCTCTCCCTCAACTCTGTTTGAAACAAACACATTTTGTTTTCCAAAATAAATATTACAAGCAAACTGATGGATTAGCCATGGGAAGCCCCCTCAGTCCCATCCTGGCTGATATCTACATGCATTATTATGAATCAAAATTGTTTGAAACTTTAAACTTCCCGACAGGGTTCCGCTACATAGACGATACATTTACCCTGTTTAAAGGGAATAAAGATGGTTTAAATAAAGTTCTTTCAACAATGAATTCTATTGATCCTGCTATTCAGTTCACTTTTGAACTTGAGACTTGCAATTCTCTTCCGTTTCTCGACATTCTGGTCACACGTAAGACATCCAACTTCAGTACTACGGTTTACCGTAAACCATCATCGGTTTGCCTTCCACCACACTTTAAATCATGTCATCTGACTAAACAAAAGTTAGCTTCATTTTATTCCTATGTCTTCCGTGCTCGTCAGGTTTGCTCCTCCAAACTAGCCCTTGATGAAGAGCTATATTATTTAAAAGCAATAGCTATTGACAGGGGCTTTTCCCAACATTATTAATCAAGCAGTTAAAAAATTCTCATCTCAACAAACTAAAAGGCACAGTCTTGTTTTAGGAGATTATAAAAATTCTGTTGTCATTCCCTTCTTTCCATCAATTAGCTATAAAGTTGCACATATTTTGCAGAAATTTAACTTTTGGGTTATTTATTCTCCCATCAATAAAAATTTCGAATTCCATACTCAAGGACCCCATTCTGGATATGAATTCCTGGGGTATTTATAGGATTCCTTGCCAGTGTGGTTTAATTTACATTGGCCAAACTAGGAGAGCCTTAAAATTTCGCATCAAGGAACATGAGGCATATGTTAGAAAAAAGGAAACGCAGAAGTCTTCTGTTGCTCAACATTGTTGGTCCGAAAATCACACTTTCAATTTTTCTGCTGCCAAAATTATTCAAAAAACATCTTGCATTGGAGAACTGGATTTTCTAGAGGCATTTCACATTCATAAAAATCTTTCTGTTCTAGTTAACGATCCTAATACCAATCCAAATTTGCCTTCGGCCTTTAAAGAAATTATGTTTTAGTTCTGGTTTCACCAACAGATGGCGCCACGTGCTTATTCTTGTCCAGGCTTTCTTATCTTATCTAATCATTATTTCCTATCTTGTTCATTTGCGGTTTTGCAGCTGAGGATGGTGGTTCGGTAAAACCATCGAAACTAGTCCTGTGAAAATTTTGTAAATATAACGCTGATTTTTGTTGTTTGACTTCTGAATTAGTATTTTTATTCTTTCATATTAGTTTATAATCTACTTCCTTTTTTTTTTTTTAATAAAAATTAGTATGTCTAATTTAATTAAGTATGATTTAAGATTAAATTCATTGCCAAATTATTCAGAAGCATAAAAAGCGTTACTTTTATTTATTCACTTATACTTTGCTTCAAATTTAATTACATTATATCATATTTAATTTCATCATTTTTTAAAAAAACCTACACCGAATTTCAGTTGAGACAGATGACATCAGTTACTCAATTCAGATACCATTTCATAATATAAGCATAAAGCTAACAATGATGGAAAAAGTAATTCAACATTCTAACTGTAGTAAGAATCAGAACGCTTTTTTATTTCCTCTCTCCACACCTATAATCCCTACCTATACCTATAATTTTTCAGCCAGCTTCACACAAAATGGGATGTTCTTATTGGCAAGTAGATTGCAATAATCACCTATATCAACAATTTTTAAACTTTTTTAATCATGGACCCTAAACATGCCAAATATTTTATTAACGCAATATAATACAGACTATAATTTTAAGCATACATATTTTGCGTGTGATAAAATTTAGCATTAAAATTAGTAGCATTTTGATTTAATTTCATATTTATTTTATTTGTATAATAGTTTTCAATGTAAAAGAATCTCTGACAATAATTTTAGATAATTATATGGAGCTTATAAAATAACTCAAGCTTTATATATTGAATATTTATCTCATGTGGCCAATTTGTGCTTGAGT